GCACAGCTCCACGCCCCCCGCCAGCACCCACCTTCAGCTCCTGGAGCTTCAGCCGGAGGTGGATGAGCCGGACCACAGCATCCTTCTGCTTCTCCGACTGTTCGGGCAGCTCCAGAATCACCCGCTTGCACTCCTCGATGGCCTGCTGCAGCTGCTGGATGTCGGAGGCCAGGAACAGACCCTGCCCGGGTTGGGGTTGGGGGCAGTCAGATGCCCACCCGTTAGGGCTACGCCCATCCTCAGAGACAGTTAGGCCCAGAGCAGACCTCACCCCCTACACCCAGATGAGGAAACTGAAGCCAGAGGGCTGAGGACTTGCTTAAGGCCCGGAGGGTTGGCAGCACGGTTAGGGTCCACCTCGTGCCAGGCCTCTTAAGACCTAATGTTTGCAGGAAGCTTTTCAAAAGACAACTTCCTTCTTTTAGAAACCCAATTGCTTTTTTAGCTACAGCATTTCCCTCACTTCTGAAGAACTTCCTCTTGGAGGAAAGCTAGGGAAATGACATTTGCTGTCTCGAAGAAGAGCCAGTGGCCTCCGGCGGAAGTGCCAAGCCCACACACGCCCAGCTGCTCTCAGCACCCAGCGAGCCAGGGGCCCGGGGCCAGACGAGCCCCCAGACTCAGAACACTCGGCAGCCACTGGGGGAGACAGGCTCAGGTCTCAGAGCTGGGAGCTCAGGCTGCCCTGCCCTCAGGAGCTGTCTTCCTCCTCCAGGTTGCTGGGCTCGAGAGGTCCAGGCACCCTTCCCTCACCCTTGGAGCTCACTCTACGGCCCAAAGGAAGTGTTCAACACGTGTTGTAATAAAGATATAAAACACATATATGAAATGCATATCTGTATGGGCAAAGTTTGAAGGCCACATACAAAATGAAAAGTGAATTAGAGGCCGGGCGTGGGGGCTCACGCCTGTAATCCTAGCACTCTGGGAGGCCGAGGCAGGAGGATAGCCCAAGGTCAAGAGTTCAAGACCAGCCTGAGCAAAAGCGAGACCCCCGTCTCTACTAAAAAATAGAAAGAAATTATCTGGACAACTAAAAATATATATATAGAAAAAATTAGCCGGGCATGGTGGTGCATGTCTGTAGTCCCAGCTACTCGGAAGGCTGAGGCAGGAGGATCGCTCGAGGCCAGGAGTTTGAGGTTGCTGTGAGCTATGATGGCACCACTGTATTTTAGCCAGGGCAACAGAGCCAGACTCTGTCTCCCAAAAAAAAAAAAAAGTGAATTAGAATTTGTATAGGGGGGTTCTGGCTGAATCTTTTTAAATGTAAGTTACATTTTAACGTTACTATAATGTTTCTCTCAAAAGTTGGAGATGGTGTGCATAAAACTAAAAGGTTTTCAAACTTTTT